ACTGCGCTTCTCCCCCTGCCCGCCCGCTTGCGCCTGCCTGCGCCTCCCTGCCTCTCTTAGAGGGGATTTTTTTTTGTTCTGCGCGTCGTCCCTCCCCGCGGGGGCTGGAGGGGCCCTGCCAGACCCACAGCCGCAGGGTCAGGGGGCAGCGCCCGGCGCTTTAGTTTAGCTGGGTCTCAAGTAGTAAGTGGAGGCACAAGTTCCCCATGCAGGTGTATTCAACTCACTCTAGAAATAGGATCATATTCAAATTGTGTGCTCTAGTCAAATGCATTGCTGTTATTTTTTTTGCCTTTGCTATATTGCCTAGCGCTATTTTAGTCTCAGTTAAACTCAAAGTTGTGTGGAGCAGCCCCCACAGCATGGGCGATGAAGAACCGGTGCCGTTCAGCTCCCTCGCTCAGCCAGGGTGCTGAGGAGGCCCGAGAGGATTGACCAGGTCTGCAGGCTTTGAATTCTAAAGCTACTTTCACCTTTACAACAGGATATCAGTATCTCTGTGGCTAAGCCTGAGCATACACAGGGAGGCATGCGTATGAACTTCCAGAGGTCACAGGGAGCGTTTGCTTTCTGCCCTGATTCCCGTTCACATGCTGTAAGTGCAGGGCAGCTCACTCCCTCTTGAAAGCGGTGTTTTTCTTGTAGGACTCCTCTCTATGAGGGAAATTTGCTTCACTGCAGGCTTGGGTATGAGGTACAGTGCATTGGTATGAACTGCTCTCATCGTTACATTTTGGTGTGCAGTAATAGTGACATTGTGTGACAAGACTTCCTCTATTTTTGAGAGGTACCGACATGCTCTCTGAGGATCCTCTTAGCATGCTGAAGAGCAGTGTCATAAAATATCTCCAACTTCTGTACAGTAACTTCTGCTGGTGGACAAATCTAGCGATGGTAGGAAGACCACACTTGGAGCTAACGTAGAGGGCTGTGTGCTTCTGTTCATGCCTTCCTTCGTGTGCTAGTTTTGCTGTTTAACCAAGTGGAGTTAAATAGGACCTCTTAAGGCTTTAGGTGTAGAGATTTTACAAGATTGAGGCATGAGGACAAACAGGATTTTCCAAGTGATTCGTATACAGAGATTCATATAATTATCAGTTAAAATTGCTTTGGAAACAAAGTTCACATCTTTGAAGCCTCTATCTTTGAGATCCACATCTTTTAATCGCATAAATATCTGAAGTCCTTAGGCTTCTAGGTGTTCGGTGCTGGACCTGTGCAGAGCCCTTGCCATTCACAGCAGAGCCAAGCAGTGGCATATATGCTTCACTGGGAGTGAAGAGGAGGAGAGAGAAAATAAAGGGATAATCCTCTGCAGTGCTTTTCCACTTTGCATAGAATTTTGATTAGGAAGAAAACCTGTCGCTCCTGGCCACACATATGCTGACTGCTAAGCAGTAATTAAGGTCTTGTCCTTATCTTCCATTTTCAGCTTGTGTAAGAATTAGTTATGTAAAAATACTTAGCATTGGTCTTACATATTGGGCTTTCTCTTTTAATCAATTGCTTGCATTATAGCCTCTATTCTACTTGCTTTCTGTGTGTTTGTTACTTCTTACTGTTCTTGATGCAAGCTTTGAGAAGTGAATGGTCTTTGCATGTTTATGCTGGCAAATGTATTTAATTGGTATCTTTAAATTTCCAGCATTCTTTTTAAGCCGTGTAATTAAAAACGTGGTACACTGAACACATTAAAAGCCTTCCTTTACAGTAGTGCAAACAATTTGTTTCTGTAACGACACCAAACTGAGATGCAACAAAGTATGCTGAAAGTAAATTCATGTCTCACAAAAGTAGGGTGTAACTAGAGTATAAAGTATCTGGTTTGTGTTTTACAGCAGATGTTAAAGGAGACCAGAACTTTTGCACAAACAATGTTTGAAGCACATATATGCATGTATTATTTTACTACTTTGTCTTTCCTGCCATCAGGCTTTACCATGTTCCGAGCCTTTAGTCACACAAATGGTAGGTGTGCGTTCCATCATGCTAAGTGTTGGCATCATCGTAAGTCTGTGCTGGCAATCAGGAGAGAAGATGTTAACGCATGGGAAAGAAGAGCACCTCTAGCACCAAAGCATGTTAAGGAATTGACACAGATGGGATACAAGGTCTTGGTGCAGCCGTCAAACCGGAGAGCCATCCATGAAAAGGTAGGGTCCCATTTTGAGTTAGATAAGCAAAACGATAGTTCAGTTATTAACCATAGTACAGGAAAAATAACATTCAAAGGAAAATATAGGAAAAATAATATTCAAAGAATATATGAGAGAAAACATATTATTAATTTTGTTTTTAAATGAGGAGTCATTGTGTCCTAGTGGAGAGAAAAAGTAGTTTGTTTAGCCTTTTAATGTAGTGTTGGCACACTGGTGGGTTTTTGGAGTTGTTTTTATTGATTTCTTGCCCTTTCATCTGTTTCTGAAGAAGTTCTAGGTGCTCTTGAAGTAGAAACTTGGGAATTCATTTAACGTTGTTTTTGTCTTCTGTTTGTTTGGAGACAACACTCTAAAAAATAAGCATATTTAAAAAAAAAGAGGAAGGACGAATCTAGTGAGTCCCATTCCTCATGTAAAATGAGGAGAGAGTTTTTTTTTCTTTAATTCTGTGAGCTTCAGGACTGAGAGCTTTTACAGTTCTTGTAGCAGCAGTAATACTCTGCTGTAAGGTATCTGAGCCAACAGATAAAAACTGAAATGTAAGTAGGGAATTAGTGATCACTTGCACATATCACCTTTTAAATAAGGCACAGTGCTGGTTTTCACCAAAGCACAGATCACATTAGGTACACAACTACGATATTGAAAGCTGGAATTTTAATATGTATTTGAGACAAGGGAGAACAAAAATAAATTTTGATATGGAAAAACATTCTTTTAGAAGTTGCTCTTCAGCTTGGACTTAGTCTTATACAATTTTATAAAATCAGTCTTCAGATTCATTTGTCAGATTTCCCTAGACTTATTTGCAAGTATTTCAACACATTACAAAGGACTGTTCATTATTGCAATACTGTAAGATACTTGTGGTAAAATATCCTTTTTGTAGTCTGTGAATTTAAGATGAAGGAATTTACTAACACGTAATTATGTTTTCGCCTTATACAATAGGATATTAGCATGGAAATTTAGTTTGATATTTGATACCCCTTTTGATAAAGAGTTTTATGAAGCTATCACATGCAGTAACTTGTTTCTGCTTTGTAGAATTATCTATTTGTCCTCTGTTCTAGTTGCTTATGTGCTGAGATCTGAATATGAAAAGAACCAGAAAAATTTACTTTGATTTTTCTCTTTCATAGGATTACATCAAAGCAGGTGGCATTATTCAGGAAGATATTTCCGAGGCTTCTCTGATAGTAGGTGTGAAGAGACCTCCAGAGGACAAATTAATCCCTAAAAAGAACTATGCCTTCTTCTCTCACACTATTAAAGCCCAAGAGGCGAACATGCCCCTTTTGGATGAGATTCTAAGACAGGTAAATTGTGTCATAGCGAAGACAATTGGCTGTTAGCTTGGGGTGGAAACTGAACTCAATTCTGAAGTGTGATCGAAAGCTTGCTGCCTAATATGGTTACTTTCAGCATGCATATTTGTAGATAATTAATGAGGACTGTTTTCAGTATCCTTTCCTGGAGCAGAGGATCTCGTGCTTGCAGTACTACTCTGTTTACGTGCGTAAGGCAGGTGAGTTGCGAGCGTGGTATGCTCAAGAGAGGTTCATGCTGTGTGAGCATGAAGGCTTGTTGGAAAGTTACTAAGCTAGAGCGTGTATTGGTCGTTACAGAGGAGGCAGCCAGTTCGCTCAGAAATGAGCAGCCTCTTGGCAGAGGATGTGAATGGGTCTGCAGCAGCTGGAGTGGCACGCTGAGGAGCTGTGTGACAAGAGTGCACGGGCAGTGCAGAGACTCTTTAAAGCAAGAATTCAATGCAACCTTTAGGTTTTTATTTTTATACTTACATCTTGTTATGGATTATTATGAATTATTTGCCTTTCTTCTATATGCCCATCAGCCTCTATCATGAAGGATGACAAAGGCATATGAAAAGGTAGTTCCTAGGAGAGCAACATGCCACTGACTGCATTCACTGAAAATTTTAATACTCAGTTTGCTATGTATTTTCAGGAAATTCGACTGTTTGACTATGAAAAAATGGTTGATCATAAAGGAATGCGAGTTGTGGCCTTTGGAAAATGGGCTGGTGTAGCAGGTATAGTGCATAAAGTAAAGGCAGGCTTGCAACAAGTAACATCTTGTAATACTTCTGGTTGTCTACGTTTCCTGAAAGTTGAGGCTTGCAATGCGTTTTTAACTGCATTTTTAACTCTTGCTTTTAAGAGCTTTTTTCCATTCTGTTTTGTGCTCCCTACTTTTGATGAGACTACATGTCAAATAGTCCTGTGGATTCCTGGCAAATCTACTATTTTATGTTGTCTTGAAGTCCTGTTTGTCTATTCAACTAATCTGAGGCAGACTAAACATCAAGAGATCAGCTGAACAGGCTTTTGAAAGAAATGGCTGCTGTCAGTCCTGCGAGTTTGAACAACATCTGTTTGTCACTCTGTTATCCATTTACACTGATTTTTGTGAGGCGTGGTTCTCATTCCTTTCTACTGAACTTCAACTCTTTCTTCAGGAGACTCTCTTTATTATCTGCTTCTTTGGTGATGTGGATGCATCTCATAAAAGGATATCCGAGTATTAAATAGTACTGAAATGCATAATGTGGGCCAAGAGCAGGTGTAAGGTCCTGGCCTGCTATTGAATTTCTCCTTCCCTCGTTTTATGTAGACTTGCTTTAGAAGTAAAGGATTCATATTAAAACATGGGCAAAAATATCCAGGATGATTTTAGACGTCAGTCAGTCTCTGCAGTTTCTAACTGTGCATATTCATAATTAACACTGATGGTCTGATTTTTCTTCTTTTTTTTTAACAATAGGAATGATCAATATTTTACATGGATTGGGATTACGATTTTTAGCCCTGGGACATCACACTCCATTCATGGTAAGAGTATACGTGTATGTATTTTTCTTTAGCAAAATGACATTCAAGCATCTGCTAATTGTCTGTATTTCAATATGGAAAATATCCTGATGGTTCTGTGCCTCTGATTTCAGCACATTGGGATGGCACATAACTACAGGAATAGCAGTCAGGCTGTGCAGGCAGTACGGGATGCCGGGTACGAAATTTCACTGGGATTGATGCCAAAGTCAGTTGGGCCCTTAACATTTGTGTTTACAGGCACTGGTAATGTTTCTAAGGTAAGAATTCTTCAAGATGAAATGCTATGTTATTTTTAATAGAACTTGGCATTTGATACGTATCAGGTTAAATGGATTGATGGGTTCATTTTGTTTGCTTGGCCTTCAGGTTTTCTTTTGCCAGTAAGAATTTTTAAGTACCTTAAACTAATGCCTTTAAGATGAGATCATGCCTGGCAAGGCTGACCATGCTAACTTCTTACCATGAAAAATAGGTTAAGTCTTGCGCTCTTCTCTCCTTTCCCACTTGCATGATTTTTGTCTCCCTCTCTTCCCTCTGTTGCCTCCAGGCTCACAAGGTATATTGAATCACCCCATTAAAGTATGGGGGAAAGAATTATTTTTTCTAATACTTGCTAAGTTTTTATATCTGTTTTTATAGCATTGACTTGGCTTACAAGTGCTGGACTTTAGAGCTATTTTCTATGACATGGGGAAAAGGCTCATCCCTGGTTTTGGCAGCAAAGATCAGTTAACTAAGCTTCAGTTATAAAGTGTAAATGTGTGCTTTCTGGACAAAAGGATGTCATGTCTGAAAGGCCTGTGTTCTGTGATCACAGCTTGTTGGGAAAGTAATCTTGAAGTTCTTTGCGTTTAGAACAGCCTGGTTGGTGAGGCAGTGGCTTCAGGGGTCTTCCCTAAGGAGAAACTGCTCCTCAGAGTGGCAGCAAAACCATCTATTGTGGCTGAGTTGAGGCCTCCCAGCTCTGCCATTAGAAATACAAACCAGACGTTGGATTGTGGGTCAGGCATGCTGCAGAAATGAGGAATGATGTAAATTCCTTGTACATATTACCCAGGCAGCTTTGGATAAGCGGGGGTATGTGTGAAACAGTTTGTACATCTCTGAAGATGTTCTCTGGCAGGACTGTCAAGTTGTGTGTGGCATTTTTGTATTTGTTTTCACACACCAAATGAGCAGTGTTACACTACCTTTACATTCTCTGCTCATTCTGAATCCTACTTCATGGTTTACAGGGTGCTCAAGAAATGTTCAATGCCCTCCCATGTGAGTTTGTGGAACCACATGAGTTAAAGGAAGTTTCCAGATCTGGAGGTATGCTGTGACAATAAAGTGATTGAAAACACTGCAACCCTTTTTGTCCAAGTATAACAGCTAATTTTTTTTTTTTTTTAACCTCAGACCTCAGAAAAGTCTATGGGACAGTGTTAAGTCGTCACCATCATCTTGTAAGGAAACGTGATGGACTATACGATCCAGTAGACTATGATAAACATCCAGAACTTTACACTTCTCGCTTTAACACTGATGTGAGCATCTCTTCTGTTCTTTCATGAAAGGTTTTCTGCAGAGTGTTGGTAGTTACTACACCTTTGCATATCCATCATTTGAGAGAGCATTCATTTAAAACCCTAGACCAGGTGCTTTCAGCTTCTTAAAGTACTAGATGAGAACGACAGGCATCTGTAACTTTCTTTGCAGATTGCACCCTACACAACTTGTTTAATTAATGGCATATACTGGGAACAACATACTCCTCGCTTGTTAAGTCGACAGGATGCTCAGAAGCTGCTGGTGCCAGTTAGATCTGCTGCTGGTGCAATGGAGGGCTGTCCTGAGTTACCACACAAGTAAGACACCTCAGTTGACTCGTAACAATTCTGCAGCACCATGATTAAGTTGTTAGGCAGTTCCACCACAATATCTACCAAATGATTCTGTTCCTTATGTTCCTCTTGCATGTTGCAAAATGCCCCATTGATTCTGCTTTCGTTCTTCTGTGCTTTGCAGTCTTGTTGTCACAGTTTGGAGTTTTTGAAAACGTCACAGTACAAATGATTGACAGGTATCGGCTCTCTCTCTGCAGAAGTAGTTCTGTCATTGGTCCTTGTGCAGAATCCAGTACAAACAGTGCGACATCTAGGAAGTGTACCTACTGCACCATTATTGCTAGAAGTTTCTATGCCCGAGCAGAGTTTATTGGTTAAGTTCTTCCTACCCTGTCAATTGTCAGTCAATAACTGTTCCTTAACACCTCTCATTTCTGCAGCAGGTAGTGGGAACGCTTCACAACCGTTGAATAGCTTTAAGGATGGAACGTGGGGTGCAAATCCAGGGTTAGTCTCCTTTTGGTGAGGGTAGGAGCCACCCTTTCTCTAATAGTCCTGTGTAGTAGTTCTCTGGGAGACTGGCCCGGGGATGGTTTTGGGGAGGATATGGCAGTGTATCCTGGTGAGGAAGCAGGTCTTTGTCTCTTCTCTGCCCACTCTTGACACCTTTCTTTCTCTCACTTGACAAATACAGAATTTAAGTGTTAACCTTGAGTGGAGCCAGAGGTTGTGAGTTAGGCTAATGAATGTTCCACCTGTGCCAGCTGTATGTGAACTGAAAGGAGGCAGCCACCTCTTTAGGTTTCCCTTTACGATGATGATGTTATTCTAGAGCAGGACTGCCCAGTGACAACTCAGGGGAATTGGTAGATGATAATGAATGGGTGGTGTTGGAAGTACATGGAGTACAGAGAAAAAACGATGGATGAGTAGATTCTCTTGGTCTTTGAGAAGTTACACATGAAATATGGATCCTGTTGATGTGAGTGGAAATCTTATGACTACAATAGGGCCAGATTTCCATTATATTTCTGGAGGTCATTGTTTGTGTTGTGTTGACTTCTAAATTGGTTAAGATGAATGAAACTACAAGTGAGATAGATCTTCTCACGTTTCTTTTATTTCCTGTTCACTTGTGATCTCTTATACCTATGTTCTTTAGTGATTTGAGTAATGCTCTATTCCTTTCTCTTTTTTGTTTAATCACTTTAGACTTCTGGCAATATGTGACATTTCAGCAGACACTGGAGGATCTATAGAATTTATGACAGAGTGTACAACAATTGACAGTCCATTTTGTATGTATGATGCTGACCAGCATATTATTCATGACAGGTGGGAGAGCCTTTAATTTTTATTGCTTTCTGCTGTAGTTTGTACAGTGAAACATTATATTGAAAAATCATGCATTTAAAACACTTCTGAAAGGTGGTACCTTTCAGGCAGCAAGGAGAAGTAGTTTAGAAGAGCTATGTTCTCTCTTTCAGTGTTGAAGGCTCTGGGATTCTGATGTGTTCCATTGACAATCTGCCAGCACAGCTTCCAATAGAAGCAACAGAGTACTTTGGCGATATGCTTTTCCCATATATTGAAGAGATGGTAAGGTCTTATGTGTCCAACAAGAAGGTAAAAGACTCGGACTTCGGTCTGCTTGTTTGTTGCTTTTCTGGTCTCCTGTATACATTCAAAAGGAATCTGCTGTAGAACATAACTGACTTTGTACTTAAAAAAAAAAAAAAAAAGCTTTCCAAGTCTTGAGACAATACTTTCAAAAAGCAACATGTGAATGAGACATTAGTGACCTAGATGCCTTAGGGATTTGTCAAGAACACTTTTTGTAGGCAGGAAACAGACTCTGGCAGGACCCTGGACCTTGCAGTAGATGTCTAAATCTGATTTTCTTAGGGCACGCAACAACTACTCACAATCAGACTGCTGTTTGAATTCCTGTATTTTCATAAAAGTCAAATGACACTGATCAGGGCCAGGAGAACTTCAGATCTACAAGATATTGGTATTGTTGCATGCATTTACATGTCGCTTAAAATCTTGATGTTTTACTCTGAAAAAAATTATGGGAAATAAAATGACCTGATTTCAAATAACTTATCTCCATAGCTGTTATCAGAAGGCTCAGAACCTCTTGAAAGCCAGAATTACTCATCCGTTGTTCGAGATGTAAGTTTTGCAATTTGGCGCTCTGCTTGTCTTCCTCTGCTTTAAAATGTACAGATACAAAAAACCCTCAAAATTTGTTTCATGTATTTCTAGGCAGTGATTGCATCCAATGGCTCACTGACAGCTAAGTATGAATATATCCAGAAATTGAGGGAGAGCAGGTAATGTATAGGTTCTTAAAGTTTGTTTGGTTCCGGATTTAAAAAAAAAACTTCTCTGCATTCTATCTCCCCTTTTGCGTTTATTTACTCTTGTGTTTTGGTGGAATACTGCTATATTGCACTATGTCTAAATGTCTCCTAGCTTGATGATTTCCTTCTTTCTTCATGCACATTGCCTAAATCATTAACATGTGTTATTAACTTACATTGGAGTTAAGAAAGTGGTCATTTTTCTCTTTCTTATGAAGATTGTTTTGCCAGAAGCAGAAAACAGCCACATGCCAGTATTATTCTGTTACTCCTTGCCCTTTTAAAACGGATATAACATACAGTCCTTTGAAAGGAATGGCTGAAATGAAAAAGCTCTCTAATACACCTTGAATCTAGTTTCCTCTAGTATGGCACAAGTGCTGTGCTGTATAGCATTGTTCTGTGACTGGATGTATTCAGGAGGCTCTGTGAGACTCTCAGACTTTTCATTACACTCCTGTAGCTACAGCTTTAGCTACCACTTCATCTGTACCTTGTCTTGGTAGTTATCAGCCAGTGGTAACATTGAGTGGATTAAGCTAACAAAAGTATAAATAACCTGGGTATCCCTTGCCTTTCCCTTGCTCCCTCTTATTGACAAACACCTATAGTTTACTTATGAAAAATGTTAATTTGACATTAAGTGGGTACCTTTGGCTTCATGTTCATGGCTGGTGCCAGCTGCAGTATCCATTATATAAAAGTTGGAATTGGTCTGACCACAAGCACTGCGTGCGCTATGCATTAAAAGCACAGTGTGTTGACTTTTGCATGCCAAACTTCTCCAATTTCCTTTGGGAACTTTGGGAGTTCTGGTTATGAACTTGTTCATGATGAATTATAGGTGCGTCTTCCACCCAAAGTAACATGCTGTTTGCCTCTCAAAGACTTCAGCTCACAGTGATTTTTGTTGTGTGCTGTTTGGCAGACCACCTGAAGAGGCTGTCTCAGTAACAAATTTTCTTATTCCTCACACAGCACGATGGTCTGGGTTTTTTTGCTTTCTCCATAGTTGCTTGCATGGTCTTGTGTGAACTAGCTTGAGAATCATGAGACTTCACTCCCAAAGGGTTTTTTGTGGGTAGTTTTTTGATATTTCTGCAGACCTGTGCGTTGCATGTGATGTTCAGTTGTTCATTGGTGTTTCTCGCTTAGCTGTTAGAAAAGCAAGACGTGCTAACAATACCCTCCTTTACTTTGCAGACTTTGGAGATAATGCAAATGAAAGCCGGGATTTTACGGCTTAAAGTGTCATGGTTTAGCGATAGGCTCTTGTTTAGAGCCTGTAGGAATTACAGGTGTTATTACTCTTAAAAAGTATTATGCTGTGTCTAGTTTAGTTTCTGAGGGCTCTATTTAGACTAATTGCTTATACCCTTTGGATGTACATGAACATTTCAGACTATAGGATAGCCAGACTGTATGAGCTGAACTGTCTTGGGTGCCATCAGAATGCAGGAGCAGTTTGATTTACTGAACTTATGTCCATCCTTTCACCTTTACTTGCTTCATACCTGCTACCGGTTCCTCATCCACAGCTGCAATGGCATGTCCCATTAACAATGTGGAGCTCTAAGTGTTACTGTTATTTGTTCATAGATTAACATAACTGAATTATTTAAACTTGTATGTAGAAAATAGGCATAATCTGAAATGTGCTTTTCTGGGACTGTAGATTCTGTTCCCACTCTTGATGGGTCATTTGGCAACTCCTGTTTGTGCCTGTGTTAGAGCAGACATGCTATGTTTGATCCAAGTGTGACTTCGTTCTAGACACTGGAAAAGTTTACAATAAATATGATAAGAAGTTTGATTGCAAAATCCAGCTTTCTTTCCTATAGGAAGTCTCCCCTTTGGCAACACTGTTGCTCTAAGCTCCTGCATACCACTATTGCTATAAGTAAAGGGTGGAGAGGAGTTCTTTCTCTTCCTTTGCCCATGAGGGGGTAGCTGTGGAAAATGTTCTATTAGAATTGATAGTAGTAGGAGGAAGGTCCTTGGGTTTGTCGTATGAAAGGATGTGGAGGGCTTAGGAGGCTTTCTGTGAATGGATTAAATAATGATTTAACTTTTTTAAAAAAATCAAATCTGTAAAACTTGGGTGAAGGTCAAAATGTACAGTAATCTATAGTAATAATTTAGTTAGATTAGAGAGGTGATACATTGGTACATCCCATTCAGATTTAATGAATTGAAAAGAATGACTTTTTAAAAAAAATTAATTAAGCCTGAATGTGGAGGAAGGGAGGATGGAACATCTGGAATTTTGGAGAGTAATTCAAGCTTTACAAATACTCAGACACAGTTAGTAGGCTGGAGTGTGCTTCACACAGGTGATACAGATATATTTGGTATTGATTTAACTCTCTTCACTCAGGGTAGTCTTCCAACACTATTGGTTGAGGCCTTGTTCCCCCAGATGTACTCGGGTACTTCATGCCATGCTTTAGGTCATGCAATACCGCTCTTGTTGTCATGCTATTAGGTATTGCTCTGGCAGGTTGCAACACCATCCTTCATTGTTATGGCCATTTTTGAACTAAAAAAACACAACTGAAAATTGACTTATGGATGCGTGTGGAGCCCCAAAAAGGTCTGAACCAAACATTATTTAGTAGACATATGGTTAGTCCTCTTCTAAGGACAATAGCTTTAAACAAAGTGGACATGAGCTTGTCGGCCAGAGGTCAGGATTCTTTCTGTGGCATAATCCACAATGCAGTATATGCCTGTGTAAACTCTCGGTAGATAAAGGGGAAATTGAGGAACTTGCTTATACACTTGCGAAGTTTCCCATAAGTCTGTATCTTCAAAAGTCCTACCTATTTATTGAAATTTGTTTTCAGGATGTGGGATAAGAAAAGCCAAACCTCAGTCTCTATTAATTAGGTTAAACAATAAGGCAATGAACAGCCTCCCTTTCTTCAACAACAAAAAGTGCTTTAAGAAGGTTTTTTTTATTTGCTAAATAGTTTTTATCTGCATAGTGATGATACTTTAGACAAACAGTTTTACAATCCTCATTTTACAACTTAATGCAAATTTAAGCTAAAAGGAAAAATAATTATAAGCAACCAAAATGTGTTTTCCTACTATAATTTATACGTTTATGAAGCATATTTAAACAACTGCTGAACAACATTATTCTGGTTGGCAAAAAGAAATGCAAAATCTCATGTGAATACATTTTATATTGAAAGTCAACAGGAGAGCTACTTCTTAAATTTATTTAGGAGAGTAGTAGAAGCTTGGTTGAAACATTCTGTGATGGTTTTCAAATCTGAGTTCTTGTCTGCAAACAGGATTTCTTAATTGGGCATTGACTGTTTTTTGACTTTTATTGACTATCATGTTCCTATGGTGGACTAATATGAACCTAGTATAACTTACCTAAAATACGCTTTCATGAGCATGGTTTTGTGTACTTTAACAGTTACCTGTGATGTAAAGGGAGCAAGGCAGAGCCTGGAATCCCTTTCTGACAGCCCAACATGACATAGATAGCTTGGCGGTCCTCAAATGATCAGGTTACAGTAATTTGGCCATTGGGAAAAATAAAATGACAACTGAGGAAAAATTTGTTGAACAGCCAGTAGCAATTGGAGAAGCAGTGGAGATGCTGATGGATTTGATCATGTTTAGATTAGATGAGAGAAACTAGGAGTTATGCAGCAGAAGAATGGAAGTGGTGCTGCACAGTGATTGCCCAGTTTTGGGTTAGATAACCAGGAACTTGACTCTTGGTCTAAATAGAGCTCTTGGTTTGTAGACTTACAAAAACATACTTACTCTGTTAGCTTTAGCAGCTTACAGTTTCCTTCTTCTGTGTGGTTTTTAATTTTGCTTGTAATACCTCCTAGGGAATACGCTCAGTCGCTGAAGATGGGTAATAAGAAGAGGGTTTTATTGCTCGGATCTGGCTATGTTTCTGGCCCTGTACTTGAATATCTCACTAGAGATTCCAACGTTGACATCACTGTTGGTATGTACGACTTTGCTTGTTTTTCATTGAAAAATTATGTCTTATTTAAACCTGATAGCATGGCAGAACCTTTCTCATAAGTAATAAATTGATCTGGTTCTCAGAACAGATAAAGAAAATCTTTGCTATTATGCACAGGAGAAAAGCATTTTGTAGCTTTCTAAGATTTTAAGTTTATATAATTGATTTGAAAATGACATAGCCACATGCAAAGTTTACTGTTTGCATGTGTAACC